TCTCTCTCTCTCTTGTGCGCGCTCTTAGTCTCATTGCTTTGGCTACCTTAGGGCTGCGTTCGTCGCGCCCACGCGGTAGACACTGTTATCACTCCGACTGGAAGGCAGCACAGGGTGTCACACCCTAAGGCTTTGGCATGGTGGTTTCAAGCATGTGTTTGCAGCGAAAAGGCTGCACTGAAAGAGAGCACATCAGCCCCCCACTCTCTCACTCTCTCTCTCTCCCAAACAGAAACAATCCGTTAGGGCTGTGTTCCCCGCGCCCGCACGCTAGGCATTCATTATTGCACTACTGGAACCCCATAACACCCACATCCGTGTCGAACCACCGAAGATGCAGGAGCTTCACCCGCTGCACCCACCATCAGGCGCGTTACCTGCTTCGGCAGGTGGGCGATATCGGTCAGGGGTTTGCCGGTAGCATCAGGACCGAGCTTCTTCGATAGGCCGTCGCTGTGCCTCCCCTCCGGTCCCCTCCCTCTACTACGAACGAAAATCAGCAGCCTCTGCTCAATCGATGTCGCTCAGGGGGACCCACGGTCTATCTGTAGGTGGAGGTCGATGGGTCTTGAACCCAAGACCGGATGAGTGTCAGTTGCGTGCCTTACGACCTACCCAGGCGGCTGGATCCCGTCGAGAGTTTTCACGGCGTCCGACGTGTGGACCGAAGTTTGAGGAGCTCGTTGCGAAGCACGAGGGCGGTTGTCCGGGGGCTAGGTCCCACTTGCACGAATTAACAGACACTGACCGTAGATAGGAAAGATCAACGGCCGAAATCTCCTAATTTGCGCAAGTGGGACCTTGCCCCGGGTGCCTGCCTGGCCGTTGTGGGAGCGGCGGCGGCGGACCGGAAAACCAGTTCTCTCGTCGGGAGGGGGCCGGCGGGGGGCTGCGCGGCTGCTTGGCGGCTTTCTTGTGGTAGAGAGGGTTATGACAGTTTGTGCGCCGGCGAGAGACTGGAGGTCGTCGCCGATTGTGCACGCGTTGCGGATGGAACCCGCCGTTACGCCGTGCGACATCTCGCGGGCTGGTGTTACGCTGGTCTGTGGGGTTCTGTCTGCCTTTGGCGATCGCACCAGAAACCTTTAGGTTTCGAAGGTGGTGCTGGGTCGTCGTCGGCACACCGGCTAGACGAGGCGAGGAGGGTGAGGAGAGAGCGGGAGAACGTTGGGGAGAACCGGCGGAAGCAGTAGCAGTTCCAGTGGTAGCAGGAGGAGGAGCAGCAGCAGTGGAAGCAGAAGCAGAAGGTCCAGCAACCTCCAGCAGCCGGAAGGGGAGGAGCAGCAGCAACGGCAAGGCGAAGAGCGAAGATGATGGACGCGCAGACGAAGTTGTCGATGAGCTTGGACGATCTTGCGGCGAGCGGTGGGCGTCGGATGCAGAATGGTGTAGTAGCGAGGCGAGCGCTGAGGCGGCCAGCGCCCTACGGCATCGCCACCGCATTCCGCGGTGCGTCGGGAGCTGCGGTTCGACCGCGCGGGCCAGGGAGGCTTCCCGCCGAGCTGTGTAACAACTGCAAACGACCCGGACATTTCGCTCGCGAATGCCCTAATCAAGTTGTGTGCAATAACTGCGGTCTTTCTGGCCATCTTGCGTCCGCCTGCACCAACGAACCAGTGTGCAGGAACTGTAAGCAGCAAGGACACATAGCGGGTCAATGTCGGAACGAAGCTGTGTGCAACATCTGTGGGAGGGCAGGCCACATAGCTCGTGGCTGCCTGGCGATGGATCATCGAGACTCGTACGGCGTGCCAAGGTCGCATCTCTGCAACAACTGTTTCAAGGCCGGGCACATCGCCGTCGATTGCCCCAACGAGACGGCGTGCAACAACTGTCGAATGCCAGGGCACTTGGCGCGCGATTGTACCGACAGTCCTGTGTGTAACGTCTGTAGCGAGCGCGGGCACATCGCCAGAGAGTGTCCGCGGAACATGACTCAACCGATGCTTTATCGCGGTGGCATGCCTGGTGGCGGCGCAGTTGGCAGTTTTCTTGGCAACATGGGCCCCGTGCCTCCGCCCGACGTCGTATGCCACAATTGCAAAGTGATTGGGCATTTCGCAAAGGATTGTACGCAGCTCACCGTCTGCAATAACTGCGGAGGTAGAGGGCACTTGGCCATCGAGTGTCCTTCCGAGCTGTCCGTGCGTTCTCGCCGCATGCGCTGAAGTGAATATGTTCCCCCACTGAGGAGAGACAGGGGGACGGCCACAAGCCGCACTCAATGTTCTGACGAGGTCGAAGAGGCCGCCGCTCTGCCGCTGAGATGTCATGCGAACGGCCAAGAATCGTTTGCAAGCGAATGAGCGCGAGCGGAGGGGGAGGGAGAGACCCCCCTGAGATATCATGCGAACGGCCAAGAATCGTTTGCAAGCGAATGAGCGCGAGCGGAGGGGGAGGGAGAGAGTTGCAGGAGACATGGTGAAGAGAACGCAGAATAGCATGAGGAGACTACGCCCCTGCGTGCGGGGTCTTCTACACACTTCTTAAGACGAGGAGGTAGAAATAGAGAAGCAAGCCAGGCGGTCAGTGACGAGAGAGGTGAGCGGAAAACTAAGGACAGTGCGAAATGAGGATGTCTCTGAGCAACGGGAGTGCAGCTGGGAAGCTGCAGCTCCCTGGGGCTGATTGCCAGTTTCCTTTTTCCTTTTTGTATTATATAGATAGATAGAAGGATCGTTAGCAATAAATGGGGGGAGGGTAGTTACTCCGAGAGGGGGCTCTCAGTGCAGGAGTGTCCCGGGGGAGTAAGTTTTGCTGCCGCTCTGCCGTTAAGGACTAAGCGGGTAAAAGGCGCTATCATTGCGTATGAAAGGTTCTTGCTTCTGCGTGGGTTTTAGAGTGATGAAGAGAGAAAGAGTTCGCCTACGCGTAGTACAAGAATGTCTGGGTGACGAAACCGGAGACTCTACGGGACTAAGCAGCATGATAATGGGAAGGCCATCTCGAAGTTAATCGCACTCTTCACGTGCTGTTTCGCGTTCGTCGTTGGATTTGTTGAAGCCTGATTCTGATCGATGATTCAGATTCTTTTGGAGGCTGCTGTCTTCAGAGATAATACTGGAGTTCCCCGCGTAGAAAGGCACGCGACCGAAGTAAGAGATAAAGAGGAACCTTGAGGTAAGTGTTTGCAGGGTCTGTTGACTGGGCGAGGGATTTCTTTGTTCGTCCCTTCCCCCTCCACTTCTGCGCTTATTGTTCGTCGGTTCGGGAAGAAGAGCGTGGCTGCGCATTATGTGGGCCCAGCAGGAAGTGAGAGATAGAAGTGGACGTCCGTCTCTCGTTTCTTTAAACCTGCCTTCGTCTCTAAAGATGGCAGTGAGCTGCTCTACGGAGATGCAGAAGGGCCTTGTTCCGTTTCCGTTGGTGGATCGCTCGTGGGCAGCCCGTCGTCAATTGCGTAACGTGGAAGTGAAAGCGGGTTTCTGTTCCGCAAAAGGACACTCGCTTGGAGGTTTTTCCACCAGAAGGGCCTCGTTGGAAACCGCCGCTATGTGTGTACCGCCCACCCGTCTAGGTGTTACGGAGTTGGTTTGGCAACCGCTCTGTGACAGGAGGGAGGGGGCAGAGGCGGGTGGACGTGACCGAAGATAACAGCTGAGAAGAGGGAGGGATGCGAAGGCGACGGGATTTGGGTGGTCGCGGATGGAAGTTACAGCTGAGCAGAGCTGAGAGCGAAGATGGGAGAAAGGTGATGTTTGGGTCGTGGGGGAAGGTAGGGATGGTGGCCGGAGCTGGCGGCGTAGGTGGAAGTTAGAGGTGTGAAGAGCTGTGGGAGGGAAGACGGGATCGGGCTGATACTTGGGTCGTGGAGGAAGCGTGGGATGGTGGGCGGGGTAGCGGGAACGAGGGGGAAGAGGGGCTGGTGCGGGCGATGTTCGAGGAGGGGCCGAGGCGGTGGGAGGTGGATGAAGGGGGGAGGGAGAGAGGCTGTCTCTTATACACATCTAGATGTGTATAAGAGACAGGCCCTTTCGCACGGGCCACTATAGTCTTCCCTAT